CCACCGTCAGGGACTAGGACTCTGGAGCTCACTGGAGGTAATGGAGAGGCTCTTCCATATTCCAGTGACTAGCCCCTTGTGATGATAACCTGCTCTTTTTCAGTGTGATTTATCTTCTTTATTTTATTTTTTTAATTTTTTTGAGTTGGAGTCTCACTCTGTCGCCCAGACTGGAGTACAGTGGCCGCTCCACTGCAGCCTCGACCTGCTGGGCTCCGGCGATCCTTCCGCCTCAGCCTTCCGAGTAGCCGGAATTACAGGCACGCACTACCACACCCGCCTGATTTTTTATTTATTTATTTACTGTAGAGCTGAGGTCTCGCCAAGTTGCCCAGGCGGGTCTGGAACCCGAGGGCTCAGGCAATCCACTCACCTCTGCATGGGATTACAGGCTGAGCCACCAAGCCCAACAGATTTATCTTTCTTTAATTGCAATTTAATCTCATTAGGGGGGCTTAGAAGATATGTTTATCTTATTAGCAGCATGTATATTAATTCGTTTTGTGCAGATGTGAAATCTGCAATGTTCATTCCAGAGGCTTCAGTTTTCAAAGGGGACATACCTTGTGTGGGTCTAGCCCTGCTCACCTCATGAAGGTAGGAATAGTAAGGTTATAATTTCTGAGCCCCTGTGGCCCCATGTAGCAGCCAGATGTGGGAATTTCTTGATAGTCCTACTATATGGTCTTCAGGAAGGAGATTTGAGAAGCAGTTTGAATGCCACAACTGCTGAAACTATCTGGCAGAAGGCAGGGACTATTCCAAGGAATAGTCAATTCTTTGTTACATTTTGCTTATTTTTAAATTTTTTTAGTTTTAAATTTTTTAATTTTTGAGATACTAAGTTTTGCTCTGTTTCCCAGGCTTGAGTGCAGTGGTGGGATCATAGCTCACTGCAACCTCAAACTCTTGGACTCAAGTAATCCTTCTGCCTCAGCCTCCCAAGTAGCTGAGACTACAGGCATGCACCACCACACCCATCTAGTTATTTTTTATAGAGATGGAGCCTTGCTTTGTTGCCTAGGCTGGTCTGGAACTCCTGGCCTCAAGCAATCCTCCTGCCTCAGGCTTCCTAAGTGCTGAGATTATAGGTGTAAGCCACATGCCTGGCCTTAAAATTTTATTTTTGTATATTTATGGAGTACAAGTGCACAGTTTTTTGTTTTGTTTTTGTTTTTTCTTTTTGAGTTGGAGTCTCTCTCCATGGCCCAGGCTCGGGTGCAGTACACGCTCAAGGCCACCCCACCATCGACCTGCTGGGCTCCAGCAATCCTTGCACCTCAGCCTTCCAAGTAACTGTAACTACAGGCACGCACTACCATGCCCGGCTAATTTTTTTTATTTATTGTAGAGACAGGTCTCACCATGTTACCCAGGCTGGTTTGAAACCCTCAGGATCAGGCAGTCCTTTTGCCTCAGCCTCCCAAAGTGCTGGGATTATAGGCTTGAGCCACTGCGCCTGGCCAAGAGATGCTCTAGAAATACAACAATAACAAGTCAAGTAGCTTGCTAGCCCTTGAGCCTATGCCCCAGGCTGCCCACATCACAGGGAGGTGTGTGGCAGAGTGAGCAGGTGCCCTTGCTCCCTGCCCGCAGGCTTGTTGGTTTTTAGTGGCAGGTGGTTCATTGCAGAGGTAGAGATCAGACACTGGATCTGATTGACAGTGATGTAAATTACCTGATTTAACTCTAGTAATTTCTCTATAAGGGGAATTTACAAATAAGTCAACTAGGCTCAGAGACTAGTGGTGAATTGAATTACTACTTTCGAAAGAGTAAGGCAAAAACTACAATTCACATGTAGTGGATACTTTCTTCAGAGCTCCCAGAAACTACTTATAATTTACATTTACTGTTCTCATATATGACTGTTCTCATCATGTGTTAATTAGGTAGCCACTCCGTCAAAATGTTTTTTTTTTTTTTTTGAGTTGGAGTCTCACTCTGTCGCCCAGACTGGAGGGCAGTGGCCGCTGCTGGCCACTGCAGCCTCTACCTGCTGGGCTCCGGCGATCCTTCCGCCCCAGCCTTCCAAATAGCTGGAACTACAGGCGCGCACTACCACGCCCGGCTGATTTTTGATTTATTGTAGAGATGAGGTCTTGCCAAGTTGCCCAGGCAGATCTCGAACCCGCGGGCTCAGGCAATCCACTCACTTTAGCCTCCCAAAGTGCTGGGATTACAGGCTGAGCCACCGAGCCTGGCCCTGTTTTGTTTTTTTGAGACAGGGTCTCACTGTTGCCCAGGCATGATCATAGGTCACTGCAGCTTTGAACTTCCAGGCTCAAGCAATTGATCCTCCTGCCTCAGCCTCCCAAGTAGCTGGGACTCCAGGCACACACCCCTATGACTAATTTTTTAAAACTTTTTGCAGTGAAGGAGTCTTGCTATGTTGTCCAACTGGTCTTGAATTTCTTGCCTCAAGCAGTCCTCTGGACTTGACCTCCCACAGGGCTGAGATTACATATATGAGCCATCATAATTGGCCGAAGTATACTTCTTGTTCTGGCAAGATTATTTAAAATACTGGGTTTAACTATTAACAGTCTTTTTCTTTCCTTTCTGCTAATCATTAAACTGGAAGGGATAAGACAGATGAGCTTTTGTACTTTTTATTTTGTAACTTGTAATTCTTGATTTAGAATGAATTGGCCCTGAATAAGAAAGCATGTTTATTGACTACTGCAAGTGAAGCTTCTATCTTCACTCAAAGTGATGTGTGACTTAATAGTTCCCTGGATCAGGGTATGTGAGACTGCCTCCTCCTGCAGGTGGGACTTGGTACAGTCAGAGTGTGGCAGAGATAGAGGTGATGTCACCAGAGGAATTGCTCGGTTGCTTGTCCCCCTCCTGGAAGGCCAACTCTGGCCCTGGGCCAGGGTTTCAGGGAACGAAAGATTGGGTTGGCACCAGAGATGGTCTCACATCCAATTCATGACAGATCAATCAATATATGTAAATAAAAGCCTGGTGTGTTCAGGTCCCCTGGTGTTACTCTCACGAAGTCTGACATGCAACTTCTATGGGAGAACTGCATGGGAAGGCTGACCTTACTCAGGGAAGGGTGGGGGTGGCAGGGGCTCAGGGAAAGCTGCTTGATCCAGTGGAGAAACATGGCTCCCCACAAAGATGGTCTTTCCTCAGATGACTGTGGTACAGCTGACTCAACCTGTGTTATGTGGTCTTCCTCAGACTGACCTTAGCTCAGCTGATATGACCTGTTTGTATGTCACCTTGTTCTCTAAGGCTTCAGTCTGGTCTTTGGAATTCAAATTTGGGTCTTGCTAAACTCTCCATGATTCTGCCACAGATAACTGACTCTCTTGCCTATTGCATTTAGTTTCCCTAAGTTTATTCTCAGGATAAACAGCCTCTAGTTTATGTGTTTATAAAGAGTGGCTTTTTAAAAAAACACCTTCAACAAATCTATGATTCTTTAGTAAAATTTAATTTTGTTAACTCTTTGCTCTTTTTTTTTTTTGAGTCGGAGCCTCACTCTGTTGCCTAGGTTGGAGTGCAGTGGCACACTCACGGCCACCGCTACCTCAACCTCCTGGGTTCGGGTGATCCTTCCGCCTCAACCTTCCAAGTAACTGGAACCACAGGCATGCGCCACCACGCCTGGCTGATTTTTTGATTTATTGAAGAGACAAGGTCTTACCAAGTTGCCCTGGTTGATCTCAACCCCCTGGACTCAGGCAATCCTCTTGCCTCAGCCTCTCAAAGTGCTGGGATTACAGGTGTGAGCCACTGCATCCAGCCAAGATTATACATTTTCAATGTGGAAAATAGGAGAAAAGGTTTCTTTTGTCCTGTCCCAGTGAGAACCTCTGTGACACGTGGGTCCACATACTCTCAGGTTTTGTTCTGTGCATGAGATGCTCCTCAGAATGGGATCGTGCTCTCCTGCAGTTTCTAACCTGTTTATTACTTACTTGGAGACTGTGATTTATTTTTAGGAATTATCAAGCTACTTAATTTTCTTTTGCCGGTTTTTTCTCTGAGATTGGTAAATAGTTGTCCACCAATATTGCCTGTTGTTGTTTAATTTTCTTGCTGAAATAATTTTAAGTTCTCAACTATGTAAGTCATTTGCACTGTGTGATTCCTCTGGAAGGCTTTTTAAATAATGTCTTTTTTTTTTTTTTTTGAGTTGGAGTCTGTCGCTTAGGCTGGAGGGCAATGGCACACTCACGGCCACCCCAGTATCGACCTGGGCTCCAGCAATCCTTCCGCCTCAGCCTCCCAAGTAGCTAGAACTACAGGTGTGCGCTACCACACCTAGCTAATTTTTTATGTATTGTAGAGACAAGGTCTTGCCAAATTGCCCCGGCTGGTCTCGAACCCACAGGCTCAGGCAGTCCATTCGCCTCAGCCTCCCAAAGTGCTGGGATTACAGGCTGAGCCACCAAGCCCAGCCTAGTCCGTAACTTTTGAATAAGTGACTTGAGGCATCTTATTTACCTTGCACAGTGGATGTACTGTAAGTGTGTTAAGAGGATGGACACAACCCCCACAGCTTAGTTACCTGTCCCACGTACACTGTGTATCCAGTCACATTTCTGCACTGACTCATGACTGCCAGCTGACACAGAATCCCAAGTAACCATGGTGTTCTCGACATTACCCTGAGTTCTAGCTTCATTATTTGGCTCTGTGTTTACTCACACAGAAGGAGATTTATGGTTGAGAATAGGGGTTTGTTGGATGAGCAGGAATTCTAAATGTAACCTCCAGCTTCCACAACTTTTCCCAGAAGTTCAGAGTTATTTGAAACTTCGTGCCTTTTACTTCTGAGAGTTCTCTGAGAAGCTTGACCATGGTGCTTCCACAACTTTTCCCAGAAATTCAGAGTTATTTGAAACTTCGTGCCTTTTACTTCTGAGAGTTCTCTGAGAAGCTTGACCATGGTTCATAACTGCACTGTCAGAAGTGTCTGGCATGCAGTGGGTTCTCAGTGACTATTGAACTGATTGGTTGTCGTGTGACTTGTCCTCTAGGACTTATCTGCTGTGATTCAGCACTGAATTTGGTGGTCCTGGCTCAGTTCAGCTGTCTGTGCCGGAGAATGTAAGTGGCGAGGTGCTGGGTGCTTTCCATTAACTCCCTCTTAGTGCACCAACGCCTTTGCCTCCTGATGTCATTTCTATATGTTGCTGAGGACACTGAGGCTCTGCAGGGGTGAGGCACTGGAACACAGCTAGGAAGAGGCAGAGGTAGAGCCCCGGCTGAGACAGAGGAGCGCTGTTGATGCACAAACTACTGGCAGGTCACTTGTCTCTGAGTTGTTTTGCAGTCACTGTCTTATAGGGTGTACCAGGGGCTTGGTTATCAGGAAAGAATCATGTGGTCAGGCTTTCTTTTTAACGTTTGTCATGTCTGGACACTATTCTTTCTGCAGGGTTTTTTTTTTTTTTTTTGAGTTGGATTCTCACTCCATAACTCAGACTGGAGTGCAGTGGCACACTCACAGCCACCCCAGCATCAACCTGCTGGGCACTGGTGATCCTTCCACCTCAGCCTTCCAAGTACCCGGAACTACAGACACGTGCTACCACGCCAGGCTAATTTTTGATTTATTGTAGAGACCAGGTCTTGCCAAGTTGCCCAGGCTGGTCTCAAACCTGCGGGCTCAGACAATCCACTCGCCTTGGCCCCCCAAAATGCTGGGATTACAGGCTGAGCCTGTAATTGTGGCTCAGCAGGTGTTTTAATTATCCACACTCCAGGGGTATGTTGAGGATTCGGAGGCAGGGCACGTGGACCCATGCCCTCAAGGACCTTTGGTGTGACATACAGTTCAGCAGTTAACAGACCCTTTCTGTAAAAGGTCAGAGAGTAAATATTTTAGGCTTTGCAGCATAGTTAGGCTCGGTTGCAAATACTTAACTCTGCCACTGTGGGCCCAAAGCAGCCAGAGATACTATGTGAATAGATGGAGTGCTGTGTTCCAGTCCAACTTGTGGGGCTGGGTTTGGCCTGCAGGCTACAGTTTGCTGCCTCCTGGCCTAGTTCGTTTGTCTCCTGGTCTCTCTCCTCACAGCCACAGCAGCCATTTTCATGAAGAATTCCGCTGATTTATTTGTGACAGTCAGGGTGGGTGGGATTGTAGAAGAAGTGGACCTTGTTGTGCAGGTGTCAAAAGCTAACTCTTCTTTTCTCTTTCATCCAGGACGTTTTATTTCCTTACATCCAAGACAATGTTAAGGAGTATCTGCAGACACACTGGGAAGAGGAGGAGTGCCAGCAGGATGTTAACCTTCTGAGGAAGCAGGTTGGGGCATTTCCATTCCACATTCCTAAGCATCGTAGGGCGGGGTTGCCCAAGTCTTAGAGCATACCCTGAGTATATTGTAAAATAAGCGTCCTGGAGTTACAGGGCTTGGAGCTGCCCGGACTTGTCTGCTTAGAATTCACATAATTAAAGACTGCATCATGGCTGCTGGTTGTCTCTAGAATTCACCTCTTTCAAGAGCTATTTAAATGGCATAAAAATTGCTGCATTTGTGGAGCTCAGCACTCTCTGGGTGCAGTAGGAAAGGCTTGTGCATCCTCCATGGTCTCTACTTCTGGCTCCAGGAGTCAGCACCTGGGCACCTTCCACTCTCCTGCCTTGTGCCTGGGCCCTGCTGCCCCTCTGCGGTGTTCCTGGGTGGTCACAGCCATGCCCCTGCAGACTTCTCACCCCAACCCCCCTGCCAAGCACTCACACACACCTGGGGGAGCTTTGCTCTGCTTTGTCTCCCCTCCGGCCTCTGTCTGTCTTCTCTTCCACATTGTGTGCTGTAGGGCTCCTACCCTGTCGGTTTTCATGTTAAAAATCTCTTTAATGGCAAAGATCTCACCTGGTGTGCAGAGCTGACTCACTGGCTCTTCTCTCTAGTTAGCTGTTGTTTTTTTTGAGTCGAGTTCTCACTATGTTGCCAAGGCTGGAGTGCAGTGGTACAATCATAGCTTACCACAGCCTCGGCCTCCTGGGTTCAGGCGATCCTTCCACCTCAACCTCCCAAGTAGCTGGAACTTCAGGCACTCATCAGCATGCCCAGCTAATTCTTTGGTTTTTTTGTAGAAACAAAGTTTTGCTATGATGCCTAGGCTGGTCTTGAACTCCTGGGCTCAAGCAATCCTCCTGCCTTTGCCTCCCAAAGTGCTGGAGACACAGGCATGAGCCACAGTGCCCAACCCTCTTGTTAGTTTTCTGTATTGTGTGTCATGGAATGCTCTCTGTACATTTTTTTGGTCAGTCTTTGTGTGGTTGAAATTTAAAATTTTTAATGTCACGGATTAGGACTGGAAATATAGTCACATATCTTAGGGCCAGGGGTATTTGGGTTCTTAAATTTTCTGGATAACTTAAGCTTAATCTGAAATATAGTAAGTCTTAACATTGTTGATAGATTCTTGGAAACGATGATTTTAAATGAAATGACATATAACACAACTGTTTTCTTCCTCATCAATGTTATAACAAAATGACATTGAAACAAATGATGTCATTCAAGGTCCTTCTGCACTCGCTTAAAGTTGGAGTCTCCAAGAACTTGTCAATGATGTGATTTGAAGACTTAGCAGTACTGGCCCTCCTGTTTTTGTTGTTGCAACTCTTGTTGAAACATACATGCGTATTCCTCCATTGTAGTATATAAACATATACTGTATATACACATGCATGTATATATCTTTAGAGATTGGAGTGTATTGTTGCAGGGTTATTGCTCTAAATGGCTTTTGGATTTTTGCAAAATGTGGGAGTTTGTAGGAGACTAATGTGAACCAGCTCCTTTACTTTGTTGACTTCTTTCCATTGAATTCCAGGCATAAAATTTGTGAGATTTTCTTTGTTTCTTCCTCAAGTGGTTATAAAACAGAGAAAATGATTAGATTTATTTGAAGTCTGCTGGGCACAGTGTTATCCCAGTACTTTGGGAGGCAGAGGCAAGACGATTGCCTGAGCCTAGCAGTTGGAAACCAGCTTGGGCAACATGGTGAGACCTCTTCTCTACAATAAAATCACAAAAACTAGCTGGGCGTGGTGGTGTGCATCTGTAGTTCCAGCTACTTGGAAGGCTGAGGAGGAAAGGATCGCCTAAGCCCAGCAGGTCGAGTCTGCGGTAGCCTTTGGCGTGCCACTGCACTCCAGCCTGGGCAACAAAGAGTGAGATTCCAATTAAAAAAAAAAAAAAAAAAAATTTAATGGAAGTCCTGGTTTCTTGATCCTAGTGAGTCAAGAAACTTTTTTTTAATATAAATAAATTTTTAAAAAATATTTTAAAGATGTGGGGTACAATTCAGGATTAGGTATACAAGTGGACATCGTACAGGTAAAGTTTGGGTCTCCCTTTGGTCCCCTCTTTGCCTGGTTTGAGATCAGATACCCTTATTGATGTTACGTGCACCCCCACCCCACCCCAGCAGTATCCTGCTACTACCAGTCCCTTATAGTATTATGGTAAATGCTTAGGGTCTACTTATGAGTGAGAACATGTGGTACTCAGTTTTTTGTTTCTGTGATAGAACACTGAGTATGATAGACTCCAAATCCATCCAAGTTGCTGCGAAGTCCATGTTTGTCCTCCTTTATGGCTGTGTAATATTCCATCATGTATATGTACCACAGTTTTTTTTATTCAGTCCAGTTTTGAAGGGCAGCACGGTTGGTTCCATGTTTTTGCTATTGTGGATAGTACTGCAATAAACGTGCGTGTGCAGTTATCTTTTTTGTAGAATGATTTGAGTTCCTCTGGATATATTTCCAGTAGGGGGATTACTGGGTCATAAGGAAGGTCTATTTCTAGTTCTTTTAGAAATTGCCACACTGAACAAACCAAGTCTTATTCTATCATAATGTCTTTTCTCATATACAAGGGGGGATCCCTCCAAAAAATCGGAATTATTTTTTGGAGGGCGGGCCTCTTGTAGTACATATAGGCTTCCCCTACCAGGTTCTAGCTAGCATTGTTGGGAGAGGCTATGTACCAACTAGCGTTGTTGGGAGAGGCTGCATTTGGCTCCAGTTAATTTTTTTTTTTGAGTGAGAGTCTCACTCCGTTGCCCAGGCTGGAGTGCAGTGGCTTGCTCACAGCCACCCCAGCGTCGACCTGCTGGACTCTGTTGATCCTTCCACCTCAGCCTTCCAAGTAGCCGGAACTACAGACACACGCTATCACACCCAGCTAATTTTTGATTTATTGTAGAGACGAGGTCTCACGAAGTTGTTTGAGCTGGTCTCGAACCTGCAGGCTCAGGCAATTCACTCACCTCGGCCTCTCAAAATGCTAGGATTACAGACTGAGCCACAGAACCCAGCCCAAATTTTTTGGAGAGTCTTTCAAAACGTTTGCCCATTTCATGATGGGTGATTTGCGAGTGTACCTGCCCATGCCACCCTGAGTGTTCAGCAGTTTTTGACCAAAAAATCCTCATCAATCCCTGTGCCTACCCTCTCTATTTACCTGACCTCTCCCCGAGCGACTTTGTTTTCCTGGCTGAAAAAAGTCCTCAAAGGGGAAACGTTTTGCTGATGTGGAAGAGGTGAAACAAAAAATGGCAGAAGCGCTGAAGGCATCAAAACTGACAAATACAAAAACTGTTTTGAACAGTGGGAAAAGCGTCTTGATAGGAGTATGGCATCAAACGGAGAGTACTTTGAAGGAGACTGAAGCTTAAATATGTAAGAATAAATACACAATTTTTTATACATAAATTCTGGGTTTTTTGGATCCCCCTCATGTAACATGCCTCTCAGTTAAACTTTCAGCTTTAGCAGTCTAGAAGAGCTAATGTAAATATATGTTAATCTAGTTACTTGAAGGAATCCTTTGGATAGCTCTGAAGCATATAATCCTTTAATGTGCAGCAGTGCTTGGGCTAACAAGAGTTGGGGAAATTGGTCTGCTTGGTTTTGGGGTCTCCCTTGAATAATAAAAAAAAAAACCTCCTGTTGTTTCTGACTTAAAGGCAGAAGAGGACGCCTACCTGGATGGGGTAGTTCCCATCCCTGCAGTGTCTGGGCATGGAGCTGGTGACCTACAAGGAGTGATCCAGGCTGTGGTGGACAACGTGTGCTGGCAGATGGCTCTGGATCGAAAGACCACGGCACTAAAGCAGTTGCAGGGCCACATGTGGAGGGCAGCCTTCACAGCAGGGCGCATGAAGGCTGAGTATGTGCCCATGTCAGTCAGAACACTTCACTGGCCCCCCCCAGTCTAGTTCATCCTCTCCTTCCAGTGTCAGCTGCATGATTAGTAAAATATATAAAGTTAATATTATTTTTATTGCAGCAAGTGAGTTGTTTTCTCCACACTTGGCTAAAGCATTTTTCACCCAACTAAATTCCCCAGACCTGCATGTCTGGTTTTGTGGGCTGGTTGGAGGGCTTTTAGTCCAAATTTAAAGTAGCTTCCTAGAAAATGGTCAATGACACTTGAGTGACAGCTCGACTGGTCTACTGTCTCCATCCGTTAATTACCTGCATTTTATTCTGTTAGGGAGTGAGAATGCTGTGAAATTCCACATGCCATTGATTTGGGCTCATTCAGAATGGCAGCCCTGCCACTTCTGTGCTCTTGTGAACACCTTCCAGAAATCCCTGGAGTCCTGGGTTTGGAGATCCTGAGAGTACTTCTGCTGAGAATTGAATTGCTGAGAGATTTTTTTTTTTTTACTTTTTGTAGAGACGAGGTCTCACTGTGTTGCCCAGGCTGGTTTTGAACCCCTGGGCTCAGGCAATCTCTCACCTCAGCCTTCCAACATGCTACGATGACAGGTGTGAGCCACCATACCCAGCCTAGCTGAGCAATTTTTTTTCCATTGCTTTGGCATTTTTCAGAAGCCAAAGTAGTTTTTTTTTGATTGTTGTCTTTTTTTTTTTCTTTTTAACAAATTCTTGATAAGACTCTGCCACTAAGAATTTTAGGCCATTGCCTGCTATAAAGTCTTGAATCCAAGACTGCTTCTAACTATCTATATTTCTTACGTATTTCTGTCTGATGAGATGCCATTTCTTTATGTACTTTATAAGGAGTTTTTCTACCTTTTACTTTATTTTATCTATCTGTCTACCTGTTTATTTACTTTGAGTCAGTGACTCACTCTGTCACCCAGGCTGGAGTTAGTGGCATGGTCACATCTCACTGCAGCCTTGAACTCCTGGGCTCAGGGGATCCTTCTGCCTCATCCTGCCAAGTAGCTGGGATTATAGGCACCCATCACCACACCTGGCTAGTTTTAAATGGTTTTGTTTGTTTGTTTGTTTGTTTTTGAGTCGGAGTCTCACTCTGTCACCCAGACTGGAGTGCTGCGGCTCGCTCACAGCCACCTCAGCGAAGACCTGCTGGGCTCTGGCAAGCCTTCTGCCTCAGCCTTCCAAGTAGCTGGAACTACAGGTGCACGCTACCACTCCTGGCTAATTTTTTTTTTCCAGAGAGACGAATGTTGCCCGGGCTGGTCACAAACCTGTGGGCTCAGGCAATACACTTGCCTCGGCCTCCCAAAGTGCTGGGATTACAGGCTGAGCCACTGAGCCCGGCCTTTAAATTTTTTTGTAGAGATGAGGTCTCACCAAGTTGCTCAGGCTGGTTTTGAACCCCTGGGCTCTGGCAGTCTTCTTGCCTCGGCCTCCCAAAGTGCTGGGATTGCAGGTGTGAGCCACCATGCCCAGCCATCTACCTTTTACTTTTTAACTTTATTATTATTACTTTTAATCCACCCATCTGCACATTGACAGTTTCTGCTTTTTAAAGGACAGACTATAATTTCAGGATTTGCTTGTGGTTAGGGAATGTGAGCCAGTTACTTTGTCAAACACTCAAAAAAGTGACGCCACGAAGCTGTGCATCCAGTGGCTATCCCTTCTCTTGGACTTCATTCCTTATAGACCCAGGGACTTGGAGTAAATGACCGTAAGCTGCTAAGGCATTACTTTGGAGCAATAACAACTGCGCACATTCAATGTGGAAAAATCTTGGCCCCACAAGTCAGTAAGGCCCAGAGCTGCACACTTAAAGTTTTGTGTTGTGGCTTGAACATGCTGATCTCTCTCCTCCTGTGAGTGTACTATGTTAGGCATATTAACACGTGCGCAGGAGAGGGCATCTGACGAAGTCCAGTTATCTTTAAAGACAACACCACAGCACAGCTTCCCATGCTGCTGTCCACCTTCCCTGCCGGGATTTCCTCTGGGGTGTGGAGGACCCTGCAGGACTGTGAAAGAGACAGTGTCAGGAGTCAGAAGACCAGATAATGTTTGCTGATTGAATAACATGGGGTGGTACAAGTCTCTTAACTGAGATGTTACATCGTTTTTTGCTTTTTTTTTTCATATAGTAAAACTTGAGGTTTGCTTAGTTCTTAAGAAATGTAATTTTACTTTCTAGCTAATTAAAGGTTTCTCACTGTGAGCCCCCAAGCTTCTTTTCCCTTAAGCATTTGGGATGCAGCTCCTTCTAAAAGCATTCTTGTGCCTTCTTAGAGTGCACTGGACATGATGTAACCTTTTCTTGTCTTGAGTTACTTCAAAGATTATTTTATCCTAGTTTGCAGTTACAGTATTTAACAGTGTTATTGCTGTGTGCTCTTTTGAGTTCCTTAGGAATTTTTAAAATCCATGTCTATAATCCCATTTTACTGTAATTTGGATGACTCTCTGGCAAAAACTATTCTCCTCTCAACCTATATATATATATTTTTTTTTTTTTTTTTTTTTTTTTTAAGAGACGAAGTCTCACTGTGTTGTTCAAGTTGGTCTCAAACTCCTGGGGCATAATCGATCCTCTCACTTCGGCTTCTCAAAGTGCTAGGATTACAGGCATGAGCTGCCGCGCCTGGCCTTGAATTGTTTCTAATCTGCTGTGAACCTGGAACTGCAGTCACACGGTTCTTAACTTTGTTAGAACTGTAAGAGCTCCTGGTCTTATGGAGCTGCTTCTCACATGGGCACTAATTGAGAAGCACATGCCTCTCTTTCTGCTGTTTTTTGTCTGGCGAGGTGATGCATCCTCCATTTTAATTCCTCTAGGTTCTTTGCGGATGTGGTTCCTGCAGTCCGGAAGTGGAGAGAAGCCGGGATGAAGGTGTACATCTATTCTTCAGGGAGCGTGGAGGCACAGAAACTGCTATTTGGGCATTCGACAGAGGGGAATATTCTTGAGGTAGGTTACTGGCTTTCCTTTGTCCTCTGACACTGTAAAGCAGGACATCATGAATGTTGAAGAAATGTGCTCTAGTTGTGAGCTAAGTCAACATTACGATAATTGCATCTGTATGTGCTGAGCAGGCTGTAACAAGAGGTGGAGACTAGGGAGCATATTGCATGGAGGGGTGAAATGTTTCTGTGGGATCAGTTTTGGGATTAAAAGCTTTTTGGTTTTGGTTTTTTGAATCAGTGTCTCACTCTGTTGCCCAGGCTGGAGTGCAGTGGTGCAATCACGGCGACTGCAGCCTCAGCGTGCTGGGCTCAAGCGAGCCTTCCATCTCAGCCTCACAAGTAGTTGGGACTACACGTATGCGCCACTACACCCTGCAAACTTTTTTGAGTTTTTTGTAGAGATGGGTCTCGCCAAGTTGCCCAGGCTGGTCTCAAACTCTTGGGCTCAAGCAGTCCTCCCACCTTGGCCTCCCAAAGTACTGGGCTTAGAGGTAGAAGCCACTGCGCCCAGCCCAAAGGCTCTTAAAGTCCATTGTACATAAGGATCATGGGATAGTTAAAAATGTAGGTCACTGAGCCCTGCTTTTAGTAAATCTAATTATCAGCAGGCCCAGGGGTCAGGAATGTGTGTTTAAACCTCCCATCTAAGTGATTGTGATGAGGGTGGTGCTAGCTTCAGCTGCTATATGCATGGGTTTGTGAGCTAGCATGTAAATCAGCTGTCTTGCAGATACTACAAAATCAGCAATACAGAGGATGCTGATAGAATGCTCTCTTGGTTGTTTAAAATCAATTGAGAAGAAAACAGTTAATTGCCTCTCATGGTATTGTTTTTATCATTTCTTCTATATAAGGCTGTTTAAAGTTTACTGTGTCTTGAAAAATGAAATGAGATAAAAATGCAAAATAGGACTGTGCATGGCCCCAAGAAATACATAACGACTTATTCAATGCAGCGAGCACATGGTAGGCTTTTTAGAGAGATACAGAATTTTTTTTTTTTTTTGAGTTGGAGTTTCACTCTGTCGCCCAGACTGGAGTGCAGTGGCACACTTCTGGCCACCGCAGCCTCAACCTGCTGGGCTCCGGTGATCCTTTGGCCTCAGCCTTTCAGGTAGCTGGAACTACAGGCACGCACTACCACACCCGGCTAGTTTTTTTTATTTATTGTAGAGACGAGGTCTTACCAAGTTGCCCAGGCGGGTTTCAGGCAGTCCACTCGCCTGGGCCTCCCAAAGTGCTGGGATTATAGACTGAGCCACCAAGCCCAGCTGAGATACAGATTTTATTTCAGAAGAAACAGCATGAGTATATGAGCAAACTGGCACATTACTAAATACAGGGATGATGAGGCTGGACACGGTGACTCACACCTATAATTCCAGCACTTTGGGAGGTGGGGATGAGAGGATTTCCTGAGCCCAGGGATTCGAGACCAGCCTGGACAACTTGGCAAGACCTCATCTCTACAATAAATCAAAAAATTAGCTGGGTATAGTGGAAAACACTTGTAGTCCCAGCTACTTGGAAGGCTGAGGTGGGAGGGTACCTGAGCCCTGCTGGTCGAGGCTGTAGTGACCGTGTGAGTGTGCCACTGCATTCCAGCCTGGGCAACAGAGCAAGACTCTAACTCAAATAAAATAAAATAAACACAGGGAAGAGCTAGGGTCACCTAGTAGATTTCCTGTACATGAGAAAGTTCTTGCTAGCCCCTCTGTGTCACCATCCCTGTGCCCCTGGAGAATGGGCTAGTCAGTGGAAGAAGGGAATACACTTAGGATTTTAAAAAGAAGGCCACCAGGTGTGGTGGCTCACACCTATAATCCTAGCATTTTGGGAGGCCAAGGCAGGAGAATTGCTTGAGACCAGGAGTTCAGGACCAGCCTGGGCAACATAGCAACACCTCATCTCTACAAGAATAAAACAAACTAGTTGGGCGTGGTGGCATGTGCTTGTAGTCCCAGCTACTTGGGAGATTGAAGCAGAAGAAGTACCTGAGCCCAGTAAGTCAAGGCTATGTTGAACTGCGATCATGCCACTGTACTTCAGCCCAGGTGACAGAGTAAGACCTCAACTCAAACAAACAGTGCTGACTAACCAAAGACAGGCTGAACTTAGTGATATATGATAGGTAACTCGGCCAAATAGTTTCTTAAATATTTATTGACTCCCTGTGCGCAAGAACACTTTGATTTTAGAGGTTGTCATCTTCTAATTTTAGCATTTTTCTAAATTTCAACTTATTTCTAAATCAAATATTAATCCAGTAATGACACTTTCTAATCATTGGTGACTGTTGTCTGAATCCAGAAATGAACTTCTTTTCTGTTCTCTCTGATGAGACATACGGGACTTGAAAATTACCTATGAGTTTGCTAATATAAATTTTATTCTCCCATTACCAAGTGAAGCAAACTGAGAGAAAATATGTAAAATCAGACTGGCTGCAGTGGCTCACACCTGTGATTCCAGCACTGCAGGAGCCCAGTTGGGATAATTGCTTGAGGCCAGGAGATCAGTACCATCCTGGGCAACATAGTGAGACCTTGTCTCTGCAAAAAACATTTAAAATTAGCTAGGTATGGTGACGTGGACCTGTAATCCCAGCTATTCAGGAGGCCGAGATGGGAGGATTGCTTAAGCCTAGGAGGTTGAGACTTAAGTGAGCCAAGATTGTGCCCATGCACTTCAGCCTGGACGAGAAAGCAGGCTCCTGTCTCTTGGGGAAAAAAATATGCAAAAGCAGCATTAAGTCTTTTAAAAGTTAAAATATCCCTAATATTGCCTTAATTTGTCTTTAAAAAAAAATCTTCCCATTGGCCAACCCCAATTAATTTGTCTTTGAGTACTTAGTAGACTTGTTTTTAGTTTATGAAAAGTTCTAAACACATTTAAAAGATCACATCATAATAGCTGATCATAAATATGGACTGTTTTTGAGTTGGGATCTTACTTTGTCACCTAGGCTGGAGGGCGGTGGCATGATCACAGCTTACTGCAGTCTTGACCTCCTGGGCTCAGGCGATCCTTCTGCCTCAGCCTCCCTAGTAGCTGAGATTACAGGCGCATTCTGCCATGCCTGGCTAATTTTTTGATTTTTTTGTAGAGATGAGGTCTTGCTGTGTTGCCCAGGTTGGTTTCGAACTCCTGGGCTTGCACAGTCCTCTCGCATCAGCCTCCTAAAGTGCTGGGATTATTGGTGTGAGCCACCATACCCAACCCTAAATATAAACTTATTTTAATTTTAATTACTATTCATTAAATTAGCAAGCTACAAATTTCATTTCAATTGTATTTTTTTTAATTTTAAAGATCTGGGGTACAATTCAGGGTTGGGTATCATATGTTCATTACGCAGGTACCCTTGTTGATGAGGTGTGGGCCCTCCTCCCCACAGATCCCCAGTATTGTCAATTTCACGGTCCCCCCCCCCACCCCCAGCAGTTTCCCACTACTGCCTCATTTCAGTTGTTTCTAAGAGGGCGTGGACATATACCGTACATACTTGCTCTTGGATAGAATTTCAAAATGTTTTAATTAGAAAAAGTTTCTTGAAAGTAAGTAAAGTAATAGCTTGTCCGTGAGGCAATTTAGAGGAACCTGTTCATTCCAGGATCAGAATGACAATGTTCAGAGCCTTTCATCAGAAGCAAAACTCAGTCCAGTAAGTCATTCTAGTGCACATGGTGTTTTAAGAATAGAATGTGGAATGCATGTATTTTAAGTGATTTTTGCATACAAAATGAATGCACTGAAAACCAAGTGTATTATAAAATGATCTTACATGTTGAGCTGGTGACTTTCTTCCAAATGTTTATTGCTATAGAATCTTTATGTTTGCGTTAGCCTCCATATATGTCTTTCTTAAGTATTTACTGAATGAAGTCCCTGTGACTTCATGTATTTCAGAGAAAAGGGAGGTGGACAAAGGGCCTCGGGTGTGCAAGTGTGTGTGGTCAGCCTCTCCCCTTATCTCCGCAGCTTGTTGATGGCCATTTTGATACCCAGATTGGACACAAAGTGGAGAGTGAGAGTTACCGGAAGATTGCAGACAGTATCGGGTGTGCCCCCCACAACATCCTGTTCTTGACAGATGTCACTCGAGGTGAGTAGGCGGATTTCTAATTCCAAGGTAGGAGCTGAGCCTGATACTACAGATATATTATCTTTTTTTTTTTTGAGTTGGCTTCTCTGTCACCCAGGCCGGAGTGCAGTAGCACAATCATAATTGCCAAGGCCTTGACCTGCTGGGCTTAGGCAGTCCTTCCACTTCAGCCTCCTGAGTACCTGGGACTACAGGCACATGCCACCACACCTAGCTCATTTGTTTATTTTTGAGTTGGAGTCTAGGCTAGAGTGCAGTGACGTGCTCACAGCCACCCCAGCATTGACCTGCTGGGCTCAGGTGATCCTTCCGCGTCAGCCTTCCAAGCAGCTGGAACTATAGGCACGTGCCACCACACCCAGCTAATTTTTTGATTTATTGTAGAGGTGAGATCTCACCAAGTTGTCCAGGCTGGTCTCAAACCCGTGGGCTCAGGCAATACCGTGACTTCAGCTCCTAAAAGACTGGGATTAAAGACTTGAGCCGCTGCGCCTGACACATTTTTTTATTTATTGTAGAGACAGATCTCGCCATGTTGCCCAGGCTGGTGTCAGACCCCTGGCCTCAAGAAGTCCTCTCGCCTCCTCCTAAAATACTGGGATTACTGGTGTGAACCACTGCACCCATCCCACACTTCTTCTTTATTAAAGAGAGTGTATGTAGAATCCTTGGGGAGGAAAACAGTGGCCATGTGTGGTGGCACATACCTGTAATCCCAACACTTTGGGAGGTCAAGGTGGGAGGATTGCTTGAGTCCAGGCTGGGCCACATGCTGAGACCTCATCTCCACACACACAAAAAATTAGCCAGTGTGGTGGCGCATACCTGTAGTCTCAGCTACTTGGGAGGCTGAGGCGGGAGGACAGCTTGAGCCCAGAAGGTTGAGGCTGTAGCGAGCCGTGATAGTGCCACTGCACTCCAGCCTGGGTGACAGAGTGAGACCCCAGCTCAAAAAAAAAAACAGTCAACCAACCAACCTGCCTACTTCCCTTGCCATTTGCCAGCCTTGGGGATGCCTGCAGGAAGTAGCATTGTAAAGACCAGTGCTTCACGTTTTAACTCTTTATCTGGCTTTTCAGCCATCACTGTAGGCACACACACCCACACACAAGAAAGACATGGGAAAGTGGCAAAGGAAGACTCAGGGCCATTGCTGTGGGCAGGTGCGTGTAGGCAGGAGGAAGAGGAGATCATGGTTAGTTAAGGACAGTCCAGTCTCAGAGGACCTGCGCCGACTGATGACCAGCGGTGAGGTCAGCTGGACATACCCAGTGAAGGAGAGAGGGCTGCAGATGGTCTCAGAAGTCTGCCCTGTATGCCACTGACAGCTCCCCTGGGAGAAGGCGCTGCCTCTCTGCCTTCTTAGATGGTCTCCACCCCTGACACCACTCAGGCTGTGGGTTGCAGACTTCATTGCACTGGTTCACTTGTTTGAAGACATTCAGATGTTTCACCCAGCATGCGCTTTTATCACACACCGTGTAGGAGTGTGTGTATATTATTACTCTAAGGGCTGCATGCACAAAGTAGTATGTTCTATAGTTTATTGGCAATAGGAATTATTTCAAGAGTAGTTTCTTTTTTTTTTTAAGTTGAAGTCTTATACCGTCACCCAGGCTGGGGTGCAGTAGCATGATCACAGCTCATCACAGCCTCAACCTCCTGGGCTCAGATGATCCTTTCACCTTGGCCTCTCAAGTAGCTGGGAACACAGGCACGCACCACCATGCCCAGCTCATTTTTAAAATTTATTATTATTATTATTATTATTTTTAATTGGAGTTTCACTCCGTCCCCTAGGCTGGAGTGCAGTGGCATGTTCACAGCCACCACAGTCTCGACCTGCTGGGCTCCGGCAGTCCTTCCGCCTCAGCCTTCCAAGTAGCTGAAACCACAGGCGTGCGCCACTGCTCCCAACTAATTTTTGAGTTATTGTAGAGATGAGATCTTGCCAAATTGCCCAGACTGGTCTCGAACCCATGGGCTCAGGTAATCCTCTCACTTCGGCCTCCCAAAGTGCTCATTTTAGGAGTGGCCTAAAAATTTCATTATTTATTTACTTATTTTTTGAGTTGGAGTCTCACTGTTGCCCATGCTGGAGTGCAGTGACATGCTCACGGCCACTCCAGCCTCGACCTGCTATGCTCAGGCAATCCTTCCGCCTCACACTTCCAAGTAGCTAGAACTACAAGCAAGTGCCACTACACCCGGCTAATTATTTGATTTATTGTAGAGACGAGGTCTCACCAATTTGCCCAGGCTGGTCTCGAATCCCTGAGCTCAGGTAATCCTCTCACCTCAGTCTCCCAAAGTGCTGAGATTATAGACTTGAGCCACTGTGCCCAGCCTATTTTTTTGATTTTTTTTTTTATAGTGATGAGGTCTCACTATGTGTTACCAAGCTGATCTCAAACTCTTAGGCCCAGGTGATCCTCTTGCCCTGGCCTACCAAAGTGCTGGGAAAACAGGTGTGAGCCACGGCGCCTGACCTGTTTGACATGAGTCTTGCTATGTTGCTCAGTCTGGCCTCAAACTCCTGGGCTCAAGTTATCCTCCTATCTCACCCTCCCAAGTAGCTGGGACTACAGGGTGTGTGCCACGGAACCCAGCAAGAGTAGATGGAGAACACATATACCAGCATCTGTGTAAGGATGAGAATTATACAAGGAGAAAGTAGGGAATGAGGGAACAGGGAGCAGATGAGGAACATTCAGGTTGCTGGGGAGGGTGGTCTCCAAGGTTCTAACTGAGAGCCCCTGGGGGTGGGCCCTCCTGAACTCCCCCACCTGGCTCCAGCCTTCAAGTGCAAAGTCATTCTCCTGAGAGTGTGTGTGTCACCCAGTGAGCCTGCTTCTGGTGTGTTCATAATTTCACATATATTTAAGGGCACTCAGCATATGTGTGTTTCTTTTGTTCTGCCTGGGATTGTACATTCCTCTGGGACTGAGATTACACCTCCTGTTTATCCCAAGAACAGGGCTTTGTGTGCTGGGCAGCTGTTCTTGACAGACGATGTCAGGGGATTAGGGAAAGGGGGCTGGGGAGGAGGATATCCTGCCTGGCCGCCTGGAGGCCACTCCCAGAGTCTGCAAGTGAGATTCCTCTCCAGCCCTTCCACCTGTCCTCCCAGAACTAGAGTCACTCCCACTCACTAATTCTGAGGCAGGGCCAGAAGTACATCCAGGCTGCAGTATGGGCATCCCACCTGAGGCCGTGCGTTGGCGCTGTGTCCTCTCCTGCTGACCCTGAGCTTTCGAGTGTGGTGGTAGGCAAGAGTTGTAGGTGTAAGTAGGAACTAGGTACTAGCTAACTGCTAAGGGGTTTAAAAAAGGCTTAATCAGCACCAATCATCTCATGCCTAATGAAGTTATAATAACTTTTTCCAGAGAAATGGAGGGAGAACGGGTTTGCTTTTACCCAATATACGTAGACATTCATATCTTCGTTAAATTTCTGTCCTCGGTCAATCTAGGCTGGAATTTTTTATCTAGGTAGATGGCGCCAACTCACAGCTGTGTATTGTCTTGAGCTTTGAAAATCAGCTGATTTAGTGGGGGTCTGCCTGTCCTGCATGTCCTGGCTCAGGTTGTCACAGAGTGTAGGTGTTTCCACAGACCATCAGCCCATTCTTTCTACTTTCTGGAAAGCTTAACATTCACATATCTGATTGCACTGGAGAGATGCATAGACATGCTGCTTCACGTTTACTGTGCCTGTCCAATGGCCCCAGGAGGGGCACTGCCAGTGAGTACCAGCCATGGCAGCAGCTACTCCCCCGGCTCTACTGTGAACTGAAAATGGTCTGGGGATGTTGGCCTAGCAGGTTTCTGTATAGAAACCTTTGACTGATTTCAAGCTGCAGTTTTTCCTGGAGTGACTTGGGTATGGAGTGATAGGGCCGGGAGTATTTTACCATTGGCATAGGGTAGGGGTGTGTTATCAGCTTCGATGAAGAATGATTTGAAGACCTTATATTATGTTTTGCTCCTTAGGGAAAGGAGGGCCTCGTTCTAGTGAGTTCAACTGCTTTAATCTGTGAATATCTTTTTTTTTGAGGTGGAGTCTCACTCTCTCACCCAGGCTAGCATACGGTGGCACGCAGCCTCAACCTAATAGGCTCAGGTGATTCTTCTGCCTCAGCCTTCCAAGTAGCTGGGACTATAGGCACCCGCTGCCACACCTTGCTAAATTTTTTTGATTTATTGTAGAGACGAGGTCTTGCCAAGTTGCCCAGGTAGTCAGGCATTCCTCTCGCCTGTGCCCAGGTACTCAGGCATTCCTCTCGCCTGTGCCTCCCAAAGTGCTGGGATTACAGGCATGAGCCACTGCTCCCATCTTATTTCTTTAATCATTCACATAATGGAGGCTGTTGGAGGTGGAAATCCATAGTTTGCTTCTGTTTCATGTCCCCAGTGCTTTGGATGTTAAGTTTCTGCATCCATAGATTTAAGGGTCTCCTTGTGGCTAGTGTTCCCCTTGGAGGCAGTGGGCTTCCCAGCCTGGGTTCTCTAGAGCCCAGCTCCATCCCAGCTTTGGTTATTTTAGTCGTAACCCCTGCCCCAAGACCATCTTCAGTTGTCCTCACATTCTCTTCGCCATGGTCTGCTCTTCCAGAACTTGTTCCTGACTTGGAGAACAGCGAGTCCCTCGCTGGCTTCAGGATGCAGCTGGCTCCCCCAAGTTCTCCGAACTGTTCCTGCCCCTCGGCACTGCCAGCCTCACGCTGGGTGAGGCCGGGGGGCTAGAGCCTGGGTCGTCTGCAGTGGGGTGAGGCAGGAGGGCTGGAACCCGAGCCAGCCATAGGGGGATGAGGCGGGAGGGCTGGAGTCCAGGTCGGCTGTGGCCGGGTTAGGCAGGAGGGCCAGAGCCTGGGTCAGCTGTGGCAGGATGAGGCAGGAGGACTGGAGCTCAGGTCATCCACAGTTGGGGTGAGGCGGGAGGGCCAGAGCCTGGGTGGGCCATGGTAGGGGGAGGCAGGAGGGCTGGAGGCAGGGTTGGCCATGGTGGGATAAGGCGGGAGGGCTGGAGCCTGGGTTGGCCGTGGCAGGGGAGGCGAGAGCTGCCTTCTTCTCTTGCTCTGTTCCATGTTGCTGTCCTGTGTCTTGGTACCACATATCCAATTTCCACTGGCAGAATAGAGGACCAAATGACATCCCAAGTAATACTCAGGTGTGAGAGGAAGGCCGGGACACCTGTCTGGAGCGAAGAAAGGGAGCTAGGCCTTGCAGCAGCAGTAGGAGTCATGTCTCAGTATTACACAAGCAGGTGGACATTCAGAACAAAACTTGCCCCGTATGGTGTAGATGAGAAGCCTGAATGTGGAGCAGCTGCTTGTGGTGTCTGGTCCCATGTGGCTTGGGGTGGCCCACCTGGTCAAGCTCTTGGCTTGCCAGACAGGCTGGGAAGTGGTGGTGGCAGTGTGCAGGTGTCCCCTGTGAGGCGGGGGAGGTGGGGTCCCACACTTGGCTTGCCTGGAAAAGTGACAGGCAGGGCAGAAAAGACACTTGAGAGGCGGATAGTGGGAAGAACAGCTCTGCCCATCGTGTCTACAGAGACACCTTCTTCCTCTCAGCACTACTGCCCTTGGGTTCGTTCAGATGCTTTGCTCTTTCCTGAGGGTTGGGGGCCTGCTGGGGCTTCCTCTTATACCAAGTCCGAGCCCCACAGAACGTATCCCGAGTTTCTCATCGGTTCTGTTCTCTCTGTCCAAGTCTCGTCTCCTATCACTGACCCAGGTTTCCCACCTCCCTCCCCTTTGTCCTCCTTGAGGGTATCATGACAGACGGCCTGGCCTTTGGGGAGCAGCTCTTATCTCAGTATGGCTGACAGAGGGAGTGGGAAGTACTATGGGAAGAACCTGGCTCTGGCTCTGCACTTGGAAGTATCGGGAAGGCTCAGAGGGTCGGGTGTCCACTGGTCTCTTCTGTCAAGTACAGTTATAGATTTTAAAAATAGTATTATGAATAAAGTATGTAAAAGAGAACAATACAGTCAGCCCCAAGGCGTCTGTCTTCTGGTTTCAAGAGTGGAATCTGGGCCATGTTGCTTCTTCCATTCCTGCATGCCCTGGTGACTTGGGTGTGAGTCTCAGACATCCTTTGTGGCATTTCTGACCCGTACCTTCATTCCAGAGGCCAGTGCTGCCGAGGCGGCAGATGTGCACGTGGCCGTGGTGGTGAGACCTGGCAATGCAGGATTGACAGATGACGAGAAGACTTACTACAGCCTCATCACGTCCTTCAGCGAGCTGGACCTGCCAGCCTCCGCCTAGGGGCAAGGAAGATGCACTCCTTATGGGCTGTCCCCGTTGTGTCTATTGTTCTAATGATAAATGTCACTCACAAAATACACATCTATACACGTATGTGTGCACGTGTGTATGTGTATACACTCAGATTAACTTCCACAGGCATGTAAGTAAAAGAAAAGTGAGAACAAAGCCTATTTGTTGCAGATGCTTTCTATGTAGAGACTGCTGGAAACCCATCCTAACCCTTTACTAAGGCAACGTGTAACTGATAGGAAACATTGCTAAAACACCTAACACATCATATTGATCAAGGTGTGTACCAAGATGGAAAGCTAGTTTTGAGAAAATATTCAGAAGCCTTGTTATTTTAGAAATATTGCAAAGCCTTCTTCCTGATAATTCATTACCATTTAATGGCAACTGAGGAGATCACAACAGCTGAGTTCACCCTTGCCTCCCCATATGGAAAAGACAAGGGTGTTTGTTTCTGTTTCAACAGACAGCAGTGTGGGGAAAGAAAACCCTGTTGAGTCTTGGCCAGTCAAATGTGTGTCTGTTCCTTAGACAGACGCTTCCTACTCTTGGTGGCACCGCAGCAAGCAGCTGCCTCACCAGTGAGAAGGTGCGCTGAGGGGTCAGCCAGGCGGAGGTGTGGCTCCTCGTGCCCAAAAAGACAGCCCTCACCCTGCCACTGTTGTGACAGGTTTTATAGTTGCCTTTCCAACTACCACCTAGCAGGTTTAGACTATATGGTTGTTTACTATTTTTAAAAAGTTTTACTGAAATCAGTCCGTAAAGTCAAGAAGAGCCCTAATAATGTAATATTTTCCCCTGAAATGGATGTGAGAAATGTAAATTTTATAATAGCAGTATTTATCCTGGTTTATTCTAATAGAATGTCAGTTTCATGTCGTGATTAATAAAGGCATTTTCTTCTTCACTCGGTTTTATGTAGTTTCTTGAATTATACCACTTGCCATCGCAAGAGAGAAACAGACTGAAGAAACTAAAAGTGGCCATCACAAGAGAGAAACAGACTGAAGAAACTAAAAAAGAGGAAGTTTTCGTTGTTGCCTTGATTGTGTGTGAGGTGTTTGTTTTAATGAAGCACCAGAGGAAACTCATTATTATCTGAATTATGTATACATGCAAGGCTGTTTTTGTTTGGATGGTGAGCTTACTGGCTTATTGTTACTATTAGAATTTTGAGAATCTTATTTGAGGTATATAAGGTCATGCTTGAAGAAGGTGGTTCTTCTATTTAATCCAGAAAAGCCAGTGGATCTTGGAGGAACAGTTTTAGGAATGCCTTGAATAAGGAAAAAGGCCTTGCAAATGTGAGAGGACAGGACAGAAAAGATTTTCTGTGGCTGATTCTGGTCACCTGGTAGCTAATTAAAAACTCTAAGGACTATGAAAATATATGAGTAAAACAAAGGAAATTAGTTTAAGTAAATATTAGAAGTGGGGTAGTTTGTAAGCACTGGTGACGCCTCAAATGGTAATAAAAGGGTGAACCTGGGGTTTTGGGGGATGCTCTCAGGTGGATGGCAGAAAAGGGTGTCTCAGTGGTACTGAAGGAGTAACTGGAAAAGCAAGGAAGACAGAATTATGCATTGGGCTCTAGGTTAGAGAGGAACTGGAGAAAAGGGAAGGTGTGCAGCAGGACCGAGCCAGCAGAGAATCGAGGTAGACCAGCCCACTCAAAGTAACCTGCACAGTGTGGTCGATAAGACACGTACCCCTGCGGGATCTGACTGGGCGCCTAGGCTACTCGTAGGGGGATATTTTATTATGAGAATTAACTGCTTGTTTGTGTGCAGATTTTCTGTAGCCTTAAAGGAAAAACATAAATAAAAGATTGTTTCAGACAGGTTCCACTAACAAAAAAAAAGAATGAAGGTGGAGAGGCATTTACTGTCTGTAATGAAAAGGGAAACAAACAAACAAAAAAAACTGTCATGAGGACAGAAATAAACATTCAGGAGTGAGGAGAAGCTGAAATGCCAAACACAGTTTGTCAAATGGGGGCTGAAAGGAATGGAAAAACAAGGCGAATGGAATACGTCTTGCATCCTGAGAAGCCCATTACCATTAGATGTGGAGGAAGGTCTTGGGAGGAACGTCTTGGGAGGAACAAGGGGTAGGAGGGAGAACAATACCTACCTCACTGCGGTGGTGACACACGACACATCTATGTATTGAGACAACGTGGCTGTGCCCTGTAAACATGGACAGTTGTGTGTTGCTCGTAAAAAACTTTATAAGAAAGTGGGTAGTAAGTTGGGAGGTAAATCCTAATGAATTTATAGTCCTTTGGAACAGAAGGAAGAAACCTCTGGGACTTCCAAAAGAAAGCAGAGGTGCTGCATCTTGTCAACCCCTTGTTTGCAGATAACACAGGATCCAAGCTGAAGTCATGGTCCTTGTCCTTCCTGTTTCTTAACCTCCATCTTCCACCTCAGGTTCTCGCCCATAATGGCACTGACTCTGATCTTGAGTTAAACCTCAGGTTTATTCTTTAGAAGAGAAGGCTCACATAGAGAGGGTCCTCCAAGTGTGTCCCCACTCCTGGAGTAGCGGACTTCCCTCCTGGCCTTCTGGAAGGCTGGCCCCAGTTGCTAAGCCTAACTAGTCCAGTTGCATAAGTAAAGGTTGAAAACCGCCAGCCTCTTACCAAGGCACAGGCACAGCAGCCTTTGCCCAGAAGGTGGTGCTGTTTCGCCGGAGACCTTGTTAAGGGTGCGGCCACCAGATTCAGCCCACGAAACCGAGAGGGATGTGAATGGTCCGTCCATCTTCGCAAGCCAGTAGCTTGACATTGGGAGAGTTGGAGTGGCTTGGGAAAATGGCAGTAATCCCAAATGAAATCCACTCACTAACATTCCTCTCTCCCAGGTTCCCTCTAAAGAGAAAGCCATCACTTTGGGTAACCACTTTTCCCAGCAGCAGTACTAGAAAGGGCTTGTTTTGGGGGATTTTTCCATTTCTCATCAGAGTACAAAGTTGAATATGATAAGTGCCCAAACAATTTGTATTCTTGCTCCTATGCCTAGATGGCAAAATGATGTCCTCAACCTAATGTTTAAGAATATTTGGGAGTTTTTACTAACACATTTGGAGTAAGTATCTAATGGAAGTAAAGTTAACCTGTCTTACACACTTAACACAAATTTATTATCTTTAATTCATATATTTTGAGTAGGGCTCTCTCCCTGTCACCCAGGCTGGGGTGCAGTGGCATGCTCACAGCTTGCCACAGCCTTGACTTCGTGAGCTCAGATAATCCTTCTGCCTCAGCCTTTCAAGTAGCTGGAACTATAGGCATGTGCCACCACACCCAGATAATTTTTTTATTTAAATTTTTTTTTTTTTTTTTTTTTTTTTTTTTTTGTAGGGACAAGTTCTCGCTACATTGCTCTGGCTGGTCTTGACCTTCTGGGCTCCAGCAATCCTCTCACCTCAGTCTCCCGAGTAGCTGGGATTACAGGCGTAAGCCATCATGACTGGCTAATTTTTTATTTTGTAAATATGGGATCTTGCTGTGTTTCCCAAGCTGGTCTCAAACCCCTGACCTCAAGTCATCCTCCTGCCTTACTTAGTCTCTCAAAGCACTGAGATCACAGGTGTGAGCCACCATGCCAAAATAAACTCTGGAGCAAAGAGACTAGAGGGCTTCCAGGTTATGCAGTGCTGGGTGGATGGGGTGTCCTGAGGAGGCGTGGTGCCCCCTGCATCGCTCCTGCCTGCCCTCTGCAGCTCTTCCATTTGTTTCTGAGTTGTTCCCTTCACAGTAATCCTGCAAATGTAAGAAAAGCATTTTGAGTTCTGTGAGCTATTCTAGCAAATGATTACACCTGCATGGGCTGCTAGTGTTGGAAAGCATCCCACCAGTATAACACTGAAGTTCATTTTCTTTTTTCTTTTTTCAGAGTCTCACTCTGTTTCCTAGGCTGGAGTGCAGTGGTAGGATCACAGCTCACAGCAGCCTCAACCTCCCGGGCTCAGGCGATCCTCCCTCCTCAGCCTCCCAAGTAGATGGGATTATAGGCGTGCATCACCACGCCCAGCAAATTTTTTTTTTTTTTTTGTAGAGATGAAGTCTCACCATGTTACCCGGGCTGGCCTTGAACTCCTGGGCTCACGGAATCCTACCTCCTCGGCCTCCCAAAGTGCTGGGATTATGGGCATGATCAGCCACCATGCCTGGCTGAAGTTCATTTTCAGCATACTGTCTGAATTTACACACACTTCAGTGTTAGAGAAGTGTCAGCGTGAGAGACAAGGATATCACAATTCTGCATAAAAGAATTTTATTTAGTGGCCAGATCCCAGGGAACAGTGTCAGTCATTGCTTGATTCTGCCCAAATGTGCTATGAGACACCCCCCTAAGAAAGTTGCATCACCAGAAGCTGTTTAATTCGGATTGTGGAGAGTCAAAGAAAACTTCGCAAATCTTTTGTTCTTTGATAAAAATTTTAAAATAGAAAAATGAAAAAACCCCTGGCGCAGTATTCAGAGCTAACCGGTGTTGTTTGGACTGTCCACACACGATGCCTCGTGGTGAGGCACATGCTCTTGCGTGTTTTTCCTTGCATTTTACTCCTGTCTCAGGGGAACCTCTCCCATCTAACCCCCTTGGGGTTTCTGCCATTCCTGTTCACAGGAAAGAGCCACCTTCCATTCTCTCTCTCTTTTTTTTTTGAGTCAGTCTCACTCTTGTCCAGGCTGGAGTGCAGTGGCACAAGTACGACCACTGTAGCCACAACCTCTTGGGCTCAGGCGATCCTTCCACCTCAGCCTCCTGAGTAAGTGGGACTATGGGTGTGTGTCACCCCACCTGGCTAATTTTTAAAACATTTTTTGTAGAGATAAGGTGTCACTATGTTGCCCAGGCTGGTATTCCTGGGCTCAAGCAATCCTCTCGCTTCAGCCTCCCAAAGTGCTGGGATTACAGGCATGAGCCACTGCACTTGGCCCTCTCTCAACCTGATACTTTTTTTCCCTGGTCTTAAATTGTAAATGAGTCCATTCCACAGGCATTTATTGAGCACCTAATAAGTGCCAGGCACTGTGCTTGGAGGTGGGCATAAATACAGAGATGAAAAGACATCAATCGGTCCCTTGCTCGGAAGCTCAGACTTTGGGTTGAATTATAAGATGTTCACATTCTATGCCACAGAATCCCAGGCCCCCAGGAAGTCGATCTGGGGATTTCTTGAAACGAAGTACACTCATGAAGTTCTGTCAATATGGCTCGCTCCAACACATTCTGAGTTTGGACACAGCCTCAAATGCTCACACCTGCAGTCTGAGTTCTGAACTTAAGCAGGTGGAAACTCCAGGTTGATCAGTAGGAGACCAGCTGGGTCAATTTGGTTTCTGGGAAGGGTATGCTTTTATTTATTTTTTTTGGAAACAGGGGCTCTGTCACCCATGGTGGAGTACAGAGGCATGATTATAGTTCACTGTAACCTTGATTTCCTGGGCTTAAGCAATCTTCCTGCCTCCGCTTTCCGAGTAGCTGGGACTACAGATGCATGCACCACTGCACCCAGCTAATTTAAAATTTTTTGTAGTGACAAGGTCTTGCTATGTTGCCCAGTTTGGTCTTGAACTCCTGGGCTCAAGTAATCCTCCCACCTTAGCCTCCCAAAGTACTGAGACTACAGGTATGAGCCACTGCACCTGGTTGGAGGAGTATTTTTAAAGTGGCTCCTACAAATTACAAATGTGAAAAGCCCTTAATCCAACAAAACACAAATGTGCAACAGAGACACATGAAGAAGCTCTCTCCTGATGTGGACTTACAGCAGGATGCCCTGAAACTCTGGCAGGAGCTTTTTGTTACCTCCACACATTCATATTTCTTTCTTTTTTCTTTTTTTTTTTTTGAGTTGGAGTATCACTCTGTCACCCAGGCTGGAGTGGTGGTATGCTCTCAGCCACCCCAGCCTTGACCTGCCAGGCTTAGGCGATCCTTCCACCTCAACCTTCCAAGTAGCCAGAACTACAGGCATGCGCCGCCATGCCTGACTAACTTTTTATTTTTTATTGTAGAGATGAGGTCTTGCCAAGTTGCCCAGACTGGTCTCGAAGCCATGGGCTCAGGCAATCCTCTCACCTTGGCCTCCCAAAGTGCTGGGATTATAGGCATGAGCCACCGTGCCTGGCTACATTCATATTTCTTTGCACATTTCTGCAAATATTTTCTTAGCTTCAGGCATAAAAGCAGCAAAATAAGCCTGTGAGTGACCTTTTTTTTCTTCTTTGATCATGTCTGAACCAAAGCAAGTTCAGCTCTTACATTTGGTCTCCATCTTCTTGGTCCATCAGGCCTAGAGAGACCGGAGTAGTTAAAGGAAAAACAGAAAGGTCAACCATAATATAGAAGACAGAAGCGGGACACGGTGTCTATGGAAACGAAACCTCAGGCCACATGTCACTGCTCCATCTCATTCTAGGCCTGGAGGCCGCATCCTTGCAGACATTCACACTGGATATTCTCATAGTCACGAGGCCAGGTCTCTGTCACATGGCGGGCCTCTCTCAGTCTGTGGCATGTGCATTTCACGGAACCATGCAGCCGACCACTGAACAGGACGAGGGAGCTTGCCAGCGCCTGGTTGTGCCTTTTCACAGGCCACACAGGTCATATCCCTTCTGTTTCCACTGTCCAATGACACACTTTGATCCACTCGGGAATGCTTGGGCCAGATTCAGAGCTGGCCCAAGCCCTCTGAGCCTGAAGGGCTTGGCGACGCTGGCAGCAGCGTGTGTTACTCCTGTATGACATGTGGCCTGCCCTACTCTGCGGTAGGGTGATCACAGAGGTGGCAACACGTGAAGGGACCAAGGAGAGCAGGGAGTGCTGGGACAGGGGGACAGGTGGTCATGCACAGGCTTCTGTCGTGCAGGTGTGTCCAGTGGAGCAGCGTGGATTTCGACAGCCAAGGGCTTGTGCTTTTCCATTCAAGAAATAACTCGCCCTGGAAAGCTCATTTGGCAAATGTGGCCGTGAACTGTGTGTGTGTGTGTGTGTGTGTGTGTGTGTGTGTGTGTGTGTGTGTGTGTGTGTGTGTCATGAGGTCCGTGTCAAGTCCTGGAGTGTGTCCTGGCCCCGCCCCCGCCGCCACACCCATCCCACTGGCGAGGACAGACCGTCCGTCACACCTGGTCGGTCTGATACTCAGATGCTTCTGACAGGCTTTCGGAGAAGCTGAGGAAGTTCTCCTGGTACTCGGAGCACACAATCTCGTAGCGGTAGTGCCGGAACTCCACAGCAAAGGTGCCAAAGTAGGACAGGAAGCACATGACCAGACCCCACTGCACCCGCGCCGCAAGCATGTGGACGTTCTGGGCCATGAGGATGAAGTCTGGGGACTCGGTCAAGGAAGGGAGACATCAGGCTTTTCTGAGCAGGGACAGCTGGGGAAGGGTCTGGCCCCTCCCTCTCTAGCAGGGTTTGCGGGAGCTGCGGTGCATGAAAGTCTACACAGCAGGTAGCACGACTGTGCTTCCACTCAGTGCCAGATGTGCTCTCAGGGCTTTCGCATACAGGACCACTGAAACTCACAACTGCCCTCTGATCATCAGGTCATTTAAAAATAGAGAAACTGATGCCACATGGGTAAGCGCTTGTCTGAGGCCACATAGGCATTAACTGGCAGAGCCGGATTCAAACAAGCACTGTGAGTTCCACGTCTAAGCCCCCCGTGGCCTGGTCCACTGTGAGCTCAGCAGGAAGACTCCAGCTGTAAAGGGAGAGTCAGCCAGAAAGGCAAAAGTAATTTTTAAAAACCCACTGCTGAGACGGTGACTTCAGAGTTATCGTTCTATCTGCAGAGAGAATTTTGAAACTGTCGAATTGCTAACTGCCTGCATGTAAGCTGTCTGGCTCTGTTGTGCTACTGCTAACGTCTGAGTGGCCCCTCTTCCTCCTCTGTTTAGTTCCACTATTGTCTTTCAGACAGTACTGTGTAGACTAGCTACATTCCTGGTATCACATTTAAACTTGTGACCATGCCGGACATGGTGGCTGACGCCTGTAGTCTCAGCACTTTGGGAGGCTAAGGTGGGAGGATTGCTTGAGCCCAGGTGTTTGGGACCAGCCTGAGCTACATGAGATTTCATCTCTACAAAAAAAAAAATTGCTGCCGGGCTCGGTGGCTCAGCCTGTAATCCCGCACCTTTGGGAGGCTGAGGTGAGTGGATTGCCTGAGCCCGCGGGTTCAAGACCCGCCTGGGCAGCGAGACCTCATCTCTACAATAAATCAAAAAATCAGCTGGGCGTGGTAGCGCGCGCCTGTAATTCCGGCTACTCGGAAGGCTGAGGCGGAAGGATCACCGGAGCCCAGCAGGCGAGGCTGCGGTGGCCGGGAGTGGCCACTGCACTCCAGTCTGGGCGACAGAGTGAGACTCCAACTCAAAAAAAAAATTGCCAGGTGTGACGGTGCATGCCTATAGTCCCAGCTGCTCAGAAGGCTGAGGCGAAAGGACTGCCTGAGTCCAGGAGGTTGAAGCTGTGGTGAAATGTGTCCTCGCCACTGCACTGCAGCCTGGGTGACAGAGTGAGACCTCAACTGAAAATAATAGAAGTAAAATAAAAAATAAACATGTGTCCAAGTGAAAATATGCAATTAAAAAAATAAGAAACAGTAGAGATACCTATGTCTGTGTGTGTGTGTATGGTGTGTGTGGGGGGGTGTAGGTGGGTATTTGTGTGGGGTTGTGGGTGTCTGCATGGTTGTGTGGGTAGATGTGGGTGTGTGTGGTTGTGTATGTGTGTGGGTGTGTGTGTGAGATGTGTAAGGGTGTGTGATGTGTACACGTATGTGGGGGTGTGGTCGTGGGTGTATGTGGTAGGGTGTGTGGGGGGGTGTGGTGTGTGTGTCAGTGGGTGTGTGTGTACACACATTTATTGATGGAGGTCGGAGGAGGAGAGAAGGGTGAACGTTTATGGCATGCTCCAGGAAAAAGCCAAGCGTTTGAGGACTAAATACACTCATTTAGAAAGATCCGAAAAGTCCCCTTAGAATTAGTTCTGTCTTCTGAATTTAGATTTCAAGTCTTGGGAATTTTCAGCCAGCAAGAGTGAACTCTTTCAGCCAAATGCTGCCCTCCTCGCTGGGTCTGGATCCATCCAGTCAAGAACCAAAATGGCTCCACGTGTTCAGAAACCACACTGGTCTGAGTCACGTGGGGGAAGCTCCCAACTTGGGATGGTGTCAGATCTGCACATGCTCCTGAGAGCTCAGAAGACAGCCAGCGTGAGACTCACTTATGGCCTAAGTTCCTGCAGAGGCACAAACCCTCAGATTTCACTTGGCAGAGATCACCAAGTGTGTTATCAGGTTGCCAGCAAGAAGCAAGTTTTTTTAGCTTAAGTTTAAGTCCTTAAATGTTCTCTGTTTCATTGATCAATTGATTGAGACAGGGTCTTTGTCACCCAGGCTAGAGTACAGTGGCATGATCATGGCTCACCACAGCCTCCAACTCCTGGGCTCAAGCGATCTTCCTGCCTCAGCCTCACAAGTAGGTAGGGCTACAGGTCCCAGCCACCATACCTGGCTTTATTTTTTTTTAATTTTAATTTTTTGTAGTGAAGAGACCTCGCTATATTGCCCAGGCTGGTCTCGAACTCCTAGGCTTAACAATCCTCCCACCTCAGCCTTCCACAGTGCTGGGATTCCAGGTGTGAGCCATCACACCTGTTCAGTTTCTGTTTTGTACTCATTTATTTTTGTTTTGTCTTAAGATTCTGGATGATCTGGCAGAATGTCCTAACCCCCTGGGTTTGTTCTATAGACAGCCCGTCTGTTTTCATCTCACTGGCAAAAAACCCTTTCACATCCAAAGGATACAGAGGGCCACACAGAGAGTGATGGATGCTGACAGAATGACTCGTGGGATCCCAATTCTCCGTCCTTCATTCTTGATGTTGACTTTGAGCGTCAGTGCAGCCTGGATCCAGCAGGTCAACGTGCCAAACCCGAAGGTCAAGGAGGTTCCGACATTGTGGATCTCTTCATCATTCGTGAGCTTGGGGATGAGCAGAGAGTGACAGGTGGAGACACTGAGGGAGAGGACATCAAGCTGATGGAACAGGTGGGGGGTGAGTATCCCAACGGTGGGATAACCAACTGTAGGAAGGTCAGTGGCCCCTTATGTCTGTTCTCAAATGGCTCACGAGGGGAGGAGAGAAAATAGGGTCCCACACCTTAGAATATTTGCTCAAAAAAACCATGTGGGCAGTGGCAATCTAGTCCTTGAATTTATTTTCCAGAAAAGCTTTGTAGGGAAGTAAATGAAAAAAAGCAGGAGACCAAAAACTGGAAATGTTTCTAGGAGGGTGCACCCCAAACTGTTTTCCAGGCTAAGAAAATGAGAATGGGCATCTGGCAGTATGTTTTCTGACTGAGAAGCGAATTCTAGGCAAGTCAAGATTTAACAGGCACAGACAGCTAATACCCTTGTTCATTGTCAATGAGAATTATTTAAATTTTGTTTGTCTATGGTAATAAGAAAAACTGCCATCTATGCGCTTTTGTCATATACAGAGACCCATTTAAAAAAAACAGTATTTGAACATTCATACTCAAGTCTTTTATAGACTAACTAGGTTAAAGGTGACCCACTTGGGTTATTTCAGTTGGGAGTTATAGATGTACACTCTCCAAGTCATTACTCACTGATGTTAAAAAATATATCTGTCACTTAAAACTATTTTTCAGGCTGGATGGTCCACACCCGTACTCCTTTGGGAGGCCAAGGCAGGAGGATTGCTTGAGACCAGGAGTTCGAGATTAGCTTGGGCAACATATCAAGACCTCGTCTCTAAAAAAAAAAATTTTTTTTTTGAGTTGGAGTCTCACTCTGCTGCCCAGGCTGAAGTGAAGTGGCACTCTCATGGCCACCACAGCCTTGACCTGCTGGCTCAGTTGATCCTTCTACCTCAGGCTTCCAAGGAGCTGGAACCACAGGCACACGCCACCACACTTGGCTAATTTTTTTATTTATTGTAGAAATGAGGTCTCACCAAGTTGCCCAGGCTGACCTCGAACCCCTGGACTCAGGCAATCCTCTCACCTTGGCCTCCCAAAGGTCTGGGATGATAGGTATGAGCCACCGCATTAGGCTTAAAAAAATTTTTTTTTAAATAACTGGACATGGTGCACACACTTCTAGTCCCAGTTACTCAGGAGGCTGAAGCAGAAGGATGGTTTAAGCCCAGGAAGTTGAGGCTATGGTGAACCATGATTGTGCCACTGCACTCCAGCCTGCATGACAGAGTGACACTGACTCAAAAACAAAAACAAACACAACTCCTTTTGTAGTTGCATATATTTTTAATTGCACATATAGGGAAGTAAAATCTACTGTCGAAGAGATGACTCAAGCTATGCTAAAAATATTATTTTTTCTAATTGTCATTGCCTTAAGGTGTCTTATCGTCTGACGTTGTGAATAATGGTTGCATTGAATCAATATTTCTTTTCTTTACAATTTTTTTCTTAATTTTTTTTTTTTACCTTTTTTTTAAAAGATGGGACCTCGCTTTGTTGCCCAGGCTGGTCTTGAACTCCTGGGCTCAAGCAATCTTCCCACCTTGACCTCCCAAAGTGCTGGGATTACAGGTGTGAGCCATCAGGTCCTGCCCTGCAATTTTTTTTCTATTGTTATTTATCTGTAGGAGTTTTGCTTTTTGGGGGAAGGAGCCAGGTCCCCTCCAATAGTTCAAAAGATATATTTTCAAAATTTATTTGAAGTGTTTCCTGAAATCAAATTTCACTTATAGAAAATTTGGTTTTCTGTGCTACATACAGTCTATTCATGGCGCAACACTGCTTTTTATTTTATTTTATTATTTTATTTTATTTTATTTTTGAGTCAGCGTCTCACTCTGTTGCCCAGGTTGGAGTGCAGTGGCATGATCATGGCTTACTGCAGCCTCAACCTCCTGGGCTCAGGTGATCCTTCTACCTCAGTCTCCTGAATAGCTGAGACTGCAGGCACGCACCGCCATGCCCAGCTAATTTTCTTTCTTTTTTTTTTTTTTTTTTTGTAGAGACAAAGTCTCACTATGCTTGCCCAGGCTGATCTCAAATTCTGGTACTCAAGCAATCCTCATACCTCAGCCTCCCCAAGTGCTGGGATTACAGGTGTGAACCAGTGTGCCTGGCCAATGTTGCTGAATGTTTTTTCAAGGTCTGTACAGAATTAGATGAGTCACACAGGGGTTATACATCACAGTGTTGATAACTATACAGGTGAAAGTCTTACCAGTGTCAGAGGGAGGTGAAGAAGGCAAAGGAAGTACCTGGAAGTTTCCCAGCAAGGTCATTCCAAAGGAAGCCAGGCACAGTGCCACCAATCCGCTGACATTCAGCCACGGATTTAAAACCTTGGGTTTCAGTTGTATGAAGCGCAGGACAGCAACCACAAGGGCTAAGAATGAAACAGAATCTTAACGTTAAAAAATTTACATCAGAGCCAGGCTCAGTGGCTCAGCCTGTAATCCCGTGCTTTGGGAGGTTGAGGTGAGTGGAATGCCTGAGCCCGTGGGTTCGAGACCCACCTGGGCAACTTGGCGAGACCTCATCTCTACAATAAATCAAAAATTAGCCAGGTGTGGTAGCACGTGCCTGAAGTTCCAGCTACTTGGAAGACTGAGGCGGAAGGATCGCCAGAGTCCAGCAGTTCAAGGTTGCAGTGGCCGCTCCCGGTCTGGGTGACAGAGTGAGACTCCAACTTAAAAAAAAAAAAAATTTTACATCAGCCAGGCTTGGTGGCTCAGCCTGTAATCCCAGCACTTTGGGAGGACGAGGCGAGTGGATTGCCTGAGCCCGCAGGTTCAAGGCAAGCCTGGGCTACTTTGGCGGGATCTTGTCTCTACAATAAATAAAAAATTAGCTGGGTTTGGTAGCACATGCCTGTAGTTCCAGCTACTTGGAAGGCTGAGGCAGAAGGCTCGCCAGAGCCCAACAGGTTGACACTGGGGTGGCCATGAGTGTGCCACTGCACTCCAGCCTGGGTGACAGAGTGAGACTCCAACTCAAAAAAAAAATACTTTATAAAGACACAAGTACGCAAAATCATACTTGGCCACAGTACATTTTAAATCTCCAGAATGATGGACCATTCTTCTAAGAAACTCTCCATGCAATGTGTGTGATTATTTAGATGTTTTACGATGCCCAGTTTGGTGGGAGCAGAAGGCAGAGAGAACTTGAAGCAGCAGGGTAACATGTCTTCTGGGTGAGGTCAGGACAGTGGATTGTGAACAGTGTTGTCCTCAGAGTTTCCAAAACAAGGTCAGCACAGGACAGACTGGCTGGCTGAGCACTGCAGAGGCCGGGCACACAACGGGTGACATGAGATACAGACAGCTGGGCCAGGCGTCCTGCAGCTCAGAATGATGTTCAAACGCACAGGACAGGGAAGCACGGGGGGAAAGCAGGGTGACCACATCTAGACAAACCTGCCGGTCCCCATGCCAGAGACCATACTTGGGGACAGAAGGAAGAGAAGGGAGAGGTACCAATCCCTTATTACTGGTTGACTCTCACTCCCCTCACTTCTGCCTATCGGCATCCATGGCCACAAGACAAAGATGGTCAATCCAAATTGGAGCAGTTACATTCATCACACTTACAACATCTGTGTTTTAATACAGCAGATGCAGGGATTGTACGTACTGAAGATCATGCCTAGTGTATCAGGAAAACTCAACTCTTGCAAATATTAATTATCCACTTTAAAAGGCCACTCTACCTTTTGAAGCAAACTGGTATCTGAGAATCTGGAGAACGAGGAGAGGTGACTTAAATTTCAAACCTGAGTTCTGATTTGTAACCTCGAGGACAGAACATACTCAAACCACTAACCCAAGAAGCACCTTTTATTAATTGCTGAGTGCAGAGATATTTTCATGTTTATATAAAAATCCAGAAGAGGTTAGCCTACATATGATGAAAATGCACTTGCAATTAATAGAAATTAATCTACATTTAAAGCAATGCACTTACCACCAAGACAATTTATTTTGACATTAAGTTTCAACAGGAAAGACAATTAGAAATTAAAGAATTACCCTATTTATACAGCAATTAAGTGGGTAATTATTTGCTCAAGGCTTTACCCTTGATTACAGGCCATTAGTAGTCATCATTAATAAAGAACATTCAGCTGGGCTTGGTGGCTCAGCCTGTAATCCTAACACTTTGGGAGGCTGAGGTGAGTGAATTACCCGAGCCTGCGGGTTCAAGACCAGCCCAGGCAACTTGGTGAGACCTCGTGTTCACAATAAATAAAAAATTAGCTGGACATGGCAGCACACGCCTGTATTTCTAGCTATTTGGAAGGCTGAGGTGGAAGGATTGCCTGAGCCCAGCAGGTTGACGCTAGGGTGGCCGTGAGCGTGCCACTGCACTTCAGCCTGGGTGACAGAGTAAGACTCCAATTCAAAAATAAAAATAAATAAAAAATTAAAAAAATAAAACATAGTCATGCATACATTTGCATTTCCCAAGTATCCTAAATTTGATAATATCAAGCTATGAAGTTAAACTCAGCAAGCTTTTAGTTCTAAGAACCTCTGACTAAAGAGTGGTATAAAATTTGATTCGTATTTGGATTTTTGGAAACAAAACAGAAACAAACTATGGTTTGCAAAATCTCAAATTATTCAGCCCTGAAGCAGTTTTTAGTATATGCTTCAGCTAGTACCCACTAATGATCATAAAATTAATAAATTATATTGGCGTTGAGAATCATTTTGGCTTGAGAGACTAATGAGAAGCCGTACCAGAAATCTATTAATAATGACAAATATCCTAGCACGTCTTATTAATTTTAGGGACAGGAATAGGAGGAGGAAGCGGGAAGGAGCGACTCAACATCCTGCACTCTGGCAAAAGTGTGCTTCTTCATTCATCAGATAAGAAGCCACTAGATGAAGCCAGAGAGCTCAGTACAGGACACCACAGGACACACTTGCTAATTAACTGTGCATAGCTATTAGGCATAATGACAAAACACCAAGACAGTACTTTTAATTTCTTGGAGAATGACTCATGGAAAGCTTTACTCTGAGGACTCTCCGCTGGTCATGTAGTTTTCAAGGGTAGGATTGTGCTGGAACTTTGGTCTCAGCCCCACAGTTCAAGTTGAACCCGTCCTAGTTTGTTGATGGCCACTCTCTGCATTACCCATTTCTCCCCCTGTAAACATGGGACATGTGTCATCTCCTGGTCCTTGCACTGCTAGCCTTCCTGTTTGTAGTACAGATGATAAGTTGTTTTATCATGGCAGATAATGAAGCAAGAAACAGAAACCTTATTCCTAACTTCCAGAACTGTACTCCAAACCCTACACTCTGCCCTCTTTTTTTTTTTTTTTTAGTTGGAGTCTCACTCCGTCGCCCAGGCTGGAGTGCAGTGGCACGCTCACAGCCACCCAGCATCGACCTGCTGCTGGGCTCCGGTGATCCTTCCGCCTCAGCCTTCCAAGTTGCTGGAGCTACAGGTGCACACTACCATCCTGGCTAATTTTTTGATTCATTGTAGAGATGAGGTCTCACCAAGTTGCCTAGGTTGTTCTCAAACCTGTGGACTCAGGCAATCCTCTCACCTCGGCCTCCCAAAGTGCTGGGAGTACAGGCTTGAGCCACCGTGCCCAGCTCCCCTTTCACCTCTTAACTCCACTATCCATCAGCTCAGAGGAGGCAAACTTTCCTTCTAAAATAGATTCCAGTTGAATTTTCAGAATGAACATTTAGAATGGTGGAACTAACAAAGTTTCTGCTCCTGTAATGGCTTTATCAACACTTAGGTATGAATGGAGGCAGATTCAGACTGTGATGAGACCCATTTTCAATGAAGTCGTCATTTAATTACCCCTTCTTTTTTTTTTTTTTTTGAGTTGGAGTCT